GAAAAAAAACAATTCAGTTCAATTCAGTTTTATTTATACAGCGCCAAATCACAACAACAGTCGCCTCAAGGCATTTTACATTGTAAGGTCGACCCTACAATAATACATACGGAGAAAAACCCAACAATCATATGACCTCTATGAGCAAGCACTTTGGCGACAGTGGGAAGGAAAAACTCCTTTTTAACAGGAAGTGTCGTCCGGCAGAACCAGGCTTTAGGAAGGGGCGGGGCCATCTGCTGCGACCGGTTGGGGTGTGAGAAAGAAAACAGGATAAAAGACATGCTGTGGAAGACAGCCAGAGATTAATAACAAGTATGATTCAGTGCAGAGAGGTCTATTAACACATAGTGAGTGACGTAAATTGACTGAAGAAGGAATACTCAATGCATCATGGGAATCCCCCAGCAGCCTAGGCCTATTGCAGCATTACTAAGGGAGGATTCAGGGTCACCTGATCCAGCCCTAACTATAGCAAAAAGGAAAGTTTTAAACCTAATCTTAAAAGTAGAGATAGTGTCTGTTTCCCAAATCCAAACTGGAATAATTCCAGTTCTAATAGTTGCATTGCATTTCAGCAGTGTGTGTATGTTGAGGCAGATCCTGACCTGAAGTCCTGTCAGATAATCAAACTAAACACGTTTTCGAAGTGTTAAAGGCGCTGCTGGTAACAAGAAACAGACACCTGGAATATGTGGTGCGGGATAGCAACTGTCAGTGTTCCGTCAATCATAACAGCTGTATTCCAGGAAGAGGGCAGAAAGCCCTCCTCCCTCTAACCTTGCTAAGCATTTTTGCACAATAACAAAGCCACAGGCTCTCAAGTTTTACATGAAATCCAAACGTGACCCCGTTGTCTCGTTCAAACACAGTCCTCACTTAGGAAAATCCCCTTTGATCTGAATACCTGGCAGTGAAAACATCCCTGTGAGTTGTCTAGGTGTTTTTAGTGTGTGTGTGTGTGTGTGTGTGTGTGTGTAGGGATTGATGTTTTGGAAAGAGCACGTATTTTTTGTCATGCAGACCGAATGCTAACACAGCAGATGTGGTTTGGGGTACATATGATTAATGTACGGTATGCAGATATCAGAAAACTGACTAAAATATTTATGGCATTAGAATCAAAAAGCTAGAATACATGACACAAACACATGCACTGCCTTTTATGTTGAGTACAATGAAGGGCATTATGGAAATGGAAAAATGAGGCTGAATGAACAGGGTGAGATGGGGAAGTAAAGGACGTGGGCAGTTTGTTTGCACAACATGTTTTTTTTTTTTTAATTATTTTATTTTCCTGCGTGCCCTTAAGCCTTCTTTGAGGGTGGTCCTTGCCTCCACCTCTTCATTTTCTCTGCCATCTTTGGTGAACTGGGGAGCTCACTTTCGGTTGTTAATGGCACACATGCGCACAGGTTGTGTTTTTTGGCCACCCCTGTGGAGGTAAAGTATTGCACACGTTGCACAAAGCTCTACGAAGCAGTAAATGGAGCAGTAAATAGCTGCTTGGCTGTTCAGAGTTTAGTACAAAATCAGGTAGTGCTGAAAGTGATCCAGGGAGCGTGTACCTTCGCAGTGAGGGATGTTACTACTTGTTTATCTGCAAGTACAGAGTGATAGTGTAGGTAAAGTGCAAGTAATCTTTCTGCTGTAAAAGGATTTAAAGCACTCCGACTTACAGATATTTGGGGTTGATTGTTGGGTTTTCTCTGTATTATCGTAGGGTCTTTACCTTACAATAGAAAGTGACTTGAGGCTTTGAGATTGTGATTTGGTGATATATAAATAAAACGGCATTGAAATATGTTTTTCCATTGGTGGCCCAGGAGTTAAATATTTTCTGTTATTGTCATCGTTAATTGCAGTTTTAGTGGTATTACATGCACAAACGGAGGAAACATGTTACTCCATGTTAGTCTCCCCATCACCCTCACTTTTTCTGTTTATCTTTCACCCCAGCCCCCCTTTCCTCACCGGACTCTCCTGTACTCTCCTCAGATTATGTGAGGAATGTGTCTGTGTATTCAGTGTCAGAGCTGCTCTCTAACAGTCAAGCAGCAATAAAGATGAACCGTGGTTGCACTGGATACAAACATCTATTGATTTTATTGTCATAACGCTGAGATATTAATATGAAGAGCATTAATGCTTTTTGCCAGCTACCTGCACCATCATCTGTTTTTGTTTAGTTAAATGCTTGTGGGAATTGTGATTACATGTGGTATTCAGACCTGTTTTGAATAGACCCTCCAACTCGGGCCCAGTGGCATGGGATAGTGGAAGAAATTTTTGGAATGGAAAGACTTACCTTTCTCCTTAGACTTGAGCTTGAGAAATTCAAGAAGCTCTGGGAAAAATGGATTGTGTACTCCCTTTGTACTGAACAATTAAATATTACCATGATGTAAGTAGATACTAATGTTGAGACTGTGTATGTCTTCCATGCTGACCTAAAGTTTTGTATTCTCGTACTGTAAATTAATAAATAAAAAGTTATTTTAAAAAAAGACCTGTTTTGAATGAGATATATGAGGTCTGCTACTTCATGACTTATGTCTGTTATAAAATAGCCTGAAATAGTCTTAATGGCATGTGACATACTAAACTGCTGTGACATTTGGCACATGGGTTAGCCATTAGGCCAGCTTATCTCCTGTGCCTGTTGCTCAGATATCGGTTAAGCTGATTTCATGTGATTATATGGAAACACGAACATATCACAGCTTGCTTGGAAGCAAGTCCTGTCTGTATGTTTGATGCTAATGTCTCCCATAAAGATTAGTGTACATTTTTTTGTGTGTCATGTAACACAAGTTTAACTTTTCAAAGTCACTATAATCAAATGAAGGTAAGGGTCAGTGTTATTGGTCATTTAGTTTTGAATAGTTTTGAACAAAATGTGAATGTTTTTGAAAATTCCAGACTTTTAAATTCATACACAGTTGTTTGGCTTGTAGTTTAATTACTTCATCTTCAGTTCCTCGTGCCTCTTTTCTCGTTTTGGGCCTGGAGAAGTGGATTAAAGTCAGGTTCAGTGTCGTCACTAAGGCTACGTCCACACGTGCCCGGGTATTTTTGATAACGCAGATTTTTCTATGCGTTTGCACCTTTCGTCCACACGTAAACGGCGTTTTCGGTCACTGAAAATGGAGTATTTTGAAAACTCAGTTTTTGCATTTACGTGTGGACGAGAAAAACGCAGAAAACGCAGAAAACGCAGCGTCAAAGATGTGCGCATATTTTGACGTCACACTGTGCGCCACGTTATTGTTTCGGTGAAATGAATTTCTACAATACTGTTACTGTTAATTCTACTCTCTGCAGTGTTTAAATGCTTACATATACACACAGTTACTGTCCCTCCACACATACGACTCAGTTCTGCTTCTATGCCCCAGCTTTGTTTACTTTTTCCCACCGAGGCTTCTAGACTTCTGATTGGCCAACATTTCTACACGGTTAGGAATATATCGCCACCTGTTGCTTTGGCATGTTCCTAGCAGCGTTTTCCTTCATTTCAGCCTTTATGTGTGGACGGGATTATTTTTTAAAACAAAAACGGAAAATCTCCGTTTTCAAAAATACCCGTGTACGTGTGGACGTAGCCTAAGATCTCACTAAGAGATTTCCTTCTGCAGCCCCAGAAAACAAAAACGGTAATCTATTCTCTGACGGGGAGAGTTTAAAACCTAAAAAAACAAAAACAAACTAGTTTGTAGATGCACAAAAAGTCAGTTCCAGTAAATTTGCCAGGTTAGTCTGCTCAGCAGCTGCTCTCAGATTGTTTCTGAATCACGCTCGGACATTCAGTGACTCGACGTTGTCACAAAGGGCAGTAACCACAGAAAGTCCTCATTAACTCCACTTAACTTTTTCAGTCTGCAGCTGCTGTCCAGGATAATGCAGTGCCTTTTGATACAATCAGGTGTTAACAAAAAGCTTCACTGAGCTGGGACCCTCATCTTGAGACAGTGCTTCTTATCTGAGTGTCTGTGCAGAGCGTGGCATCTCAGAGTCACGCTTCTGAGCCCAATCAAATGCTCTCAGATCAAGTGTGTGGAGATAGACTCACTGATACCTTGCTCCCATACCTCATCTGCGAGCTATGTTCTGTATTCGGTTTCCCTGCTTTTGTTTTGCTCTGTGTGGGAAGCTGCTGGTGTATTTTTCACCTGCGGCTATAATTCCATCAGGTACATTGCCAGATCTGTCCCTGCCCAGCAACTATCAGCTTGCTGGATCTGTGCACTTGAAGGACTGTCAGCGCTTGTGATTGATTTACTTGAAAATTCTGTTTTCCACAGGGCCACCTGGCTGCCCACTTATGTTACATAACAGTATTTTGTGCTTTTCCAGTATCTGTTTAATGTTGGTTTGTTGCACAGGGCCAAAAAATACTTGTCAGTGTGTTTTACCTGAAACATGCGCTACATTGGGACTGATTAATGAGCAGCTAATGCTGGGGCCTGTTTGTGCCACCAAAAGGTTGTTTGGGAAGCCCAGCACTCACTTTTCACATTCTGAAACACTCTGTTTCACTCAATACAGTATTAAGTTGTTATTAATCCACAGGTCAAAATAGTTCAAAGAAAATAATAATCTCTTACAATGTAAGCGTTAGAATGTCATCATCATTTTGGGTAAACGCTTACCAAATATGACTTGTGAATGAAAACTATGGTACAGTTGTGCGGTGTTGTAGTGATATAGTCTATACTGCTCTTCATCTACAAACACAGTGCATTAGTGTTTCTGTTGGCTGATGGTGTACATCTGCTCAGTTAAACAAAGGTAAACAACTAACTAGTCTTTGATTTCTCACCCAGCTCTTAATTGCAGACAGTGAAAAACAGAAAAGCAAGCTGTAAGAGTAACGTTGCACAAATTAGTTGTTTTCAGTATTGGTGCGATCACACAAAGATAAAGTAGCATAGGTCTCATTCCAATTAGACTAGAGTCCCATAACCTGACTCTTTGATATTTGTGTATTTGTTCTCCAGCAATGGAGGAGCTGGTGTGTGAGCTTCGTCTGTTTCTGGACCTGCTGGACAGAGAATATCTGAGTGCTGGGGTCCGAGAGAAGAAGATACACCTCTCCAATATTCTGCACAGAGTACTGTCCGACAAAGGTGAGGATTAAACTTATACTGCACCTTCTGAAACACTTAGATACAACACCTGACCTTACTATGGCTGACTGCAGGAGTTCCATGAGCAGTCTGGTACATACACAAAGAATGTAGACCACAATAAGCTGGTCCTAGGTCAGTGTGGGATTGAATTGTTTGGTTGCTGTCATCATAGAGTTATATTGGTATACATTTACTTATAAAACCCTTTACTTGTAAGCTAATATAGCCAAAAGTTTTTTTATGACAGATTAAAAGAGTTAATTTCATCAGTGTGATGTTTTCTGAGCTTTTCTTTAACACAGACTTTTTTCTTTAAGATGTTCACGTGTGTGGCTGCCACGTGTGTGGCAAAAACATGTTTATATTAAAATCTGGATGAATCGAACATGAAAAGAAGATATACACAGAAATTTTATTGTATTTTTGTCTCTTGTTTGCATCCTTAAACGCGAAGATTGTTTTAGTGCTATACTGGAAGCCTCAAAACATGAGATTATTCACACAAATTCATAATGACGTTTCAGTTTTCTATCAACAACAAAATGTCACGTGCAGAAATATTTATTGGAGATTTTGCATTTTAACATTAAAAAAATCCACAAAGGGACCTTGTAATGAGGAGCAGAAGTGAAGCGCATTAAAATCAGAGAAACACAGAAGCACAGTCTATTTGGTTCTATAATTTTAAGAAGGGAAATTATGACATTTTATTTTTTGTCACTACTTAGATTTGACACTAGTGGCACTGTAAAGCATCTTCTTGTTTATATTCATAATAGCCACTTGATTTCTTCTAGAGCCTTCATTCAAGTCAGAGATACACAGCGGACTGCCTGCTCCACCTCAGATGCCACTTCCAGAGATCCCTCACCCCTGGATGGTAAGACTGAAGTTTATTTAGATTTATTAATTTTAGTTCTCTGTAATTTGGCCATGCTGGAACTTATCGCAAGCAGTGCTCACAGTAAGAGTTATACCGAGTTCCAGTATGCGTTCTGGTTGTCTGACTAAAGAGAGTTGTTTCTACAAATACCAGATAGCCCTGCGTCATTCTGCTTCCGCTGCTATGGGTCATCCTCTCAGCCCAGCTGCTTTAATGCAAAACCAAGCAAATCAATGGTGAAGGACAAAAGAATACTTTATTTTCAGGACACTGCTGAGTAACTACATTTTGAGCAATGCAGTGCAAGTCACATGTAATTTATGTGGCATAAGTAAGTGATAAATAAAGGAAAGACAGCTCATTTCCTTTGTCCTGCTATTATACAGGTTACTATACACTCTCCAGAGTGCAAGGACCTAACGTTTCTGTATACGACCCAATTTGATCCCAGCGTTAAATTAAAAGCGACAATATTGACATCCAGGACGAAACTAGAAATTACTATTTTAAATAATACATTAGGCCTTATAAATAAAACATAGCCAATAAATATTGAATATAAAATGATTTGACAACTGTCTATAAAATAATGCACTATTCTTAATGTTAGGTCAGTGTTAGAGTCTTTACTTTATAGTGCTGCTATTTGCAGTTGCACTACTTTCCCCAAACTAGCTAATTTTGTCACATCATCTGTTCAAAGCTGAATGTTACCTCCCAGTTTGCATTCATTTACAGCATTTCATTGAATTTAGGTCCAATTTCAAATCCCTTTTGGATATTTTTAAATAACTTCATCATGTTAACACTACAGGTATCTTTAACATTCATGCAGGACTGCTTACCAGTAACACACAACTGGTGCTAGTAGAAACTGCAGAGAAATGACCAATAACGCTGACCCTTACCTTCATTATTATCAGATGGTGAACTTGTTAGCAATACACTGAAGTTCTGTGCACAAGTTTTTGTGACACCCTGCACCTGAATGGTGTTAATCACGCAAATGCCAGCGCTACCAATGCAGCAGGACATAGAAACCATATGAGATGTGTTTTACAGTCACTTGTAAAGCAGTTGGAAGGCCTGTCATGGCTTCAGTATGTTTTCCTCTCCCGTACTGCGCCTCACATCACCATGACAGTCAATGAGGACCGTAACATCTCTGTTAAAACAGTGATGTGTGTGTCATTATTGTGAAAGTGAGATGTGCATGTAAAAAGACCCAGTGTGAAGAATAACAGTGTGTGTCTGCCATTATTGTGGGAACAGATGCCTGTGATAAAAAGCAGGTGGCTGTGATGGCTTGCAAAGCCTTTATTTCATAGCAATAAGCCACAACACCTTGTTCTACATCTTACTCACACACACACGCAGGACACGCACACATTCCAAGGCACAAGGCCTTACAGTGCAGTTTGTAATTAGAACCAGTCGTCAGCCTCAGCCTCCTCTGGTGACCCCAGTGTGTGTCTGGAAATCACAGCCGAGGGTTTCCCAGAAAACTAGGCGAGTGAGGAGGAGGAGTTTCTGATGTTTCTGTGTCTCTGCTTGTTGTCTCTCTTCTCTGCTGCCCCAATCAGAACCAGTAACATAAGAAAATACATAGCAGAGCCTTGCACGACACCCCAGACTCTCGGGCCTGTTCGGTGCTTACCTTACCTTTATTTAAACAAAGCACATAGGCACACAATTACACAACTCTTTCTGTCTTTTATGGGAAGAGTGAAGTTTTTAGCAGGTCTTCATCACTGGCTGAAGGAGACCCACTCAGGACTGGGTTGAGCATTTTGATTTTTAACTTACTTTTTGTTGAATTTTGTATTTGTTGTTTGGTCGAGTGTGTGAGACGGATAAACACTGGAACAGCCTGTAAACACGGTTATAGCTGAAAAAAGACGCCAGCTTCTCCTTGTTTCCCTCCCCACCATTGTGTGTTGCTTTCATTTAAATAAAATGTTTATGTTTTTTTCTGAACATAGACTACTGCCTTTCTTTCCGTTATGAGTTTAAGTGAATAAATCGCCACGTTTGGGCGCACTCTCAGGAGGGTGCATTTGCTTGCAACTGGAAGAGGATGCCGTTAAACACTGCTATTATTTCTTCAGTTGACTCCTTCTCTTAGCCTCAACCAGCATTATTAGCAAACTTACTCATGGGCAGATAAATAGATGAATAAATCTCTCTTAGTTGATATATTCGTCCAAAGTCATCCAACCATACTTTATACACTTTATCCAACAATATCATGCTCTGGACACTGGCTACTGTGTACAAAGTAATCATAATACTAACGACAGCATAAGCTGTGACAAACATTCAACAGCAAGGATTTTCATCAGCAGAAAAGAAAGCAGCTAAAATATATTAAGTGGTTAAATAGAGCCATTCACATTAGAACAAAACCTCTCTGAGTAATATATGTGCAGGGTTTGCAGAGTCGCAGCAGTAAAGTATAATTCTCATAAATATACTTGGATGGAAACCCAGCTACTGTCTTTTATTTTGTGCCAGCTCTCTGTCTCCCTGTTGCCGTCTCTGCTCTGAAATTACCATCTATCACATTTCCACACTGACCTCTGGAGAAGCTGTCCAGACTGAGGAAAAAAGTGTTGTGCTCCCTTTCTCCACTCTTCATTTCTTGCAAAATTTCCACCGCGTGCAAATGAAACAGCGGACAAACGGTTAAGAGGAAAAGAGAGAGGAGGCGGCTAGAAAGAAAATAGTAAACAGGGTAGAGAGTTAAAGAAACAAAGATTTCATGTTGATGAAAAACAACCTTGTTAGTCATGAGAAGTTGCAGTTATTTGTGTTATACTGCATCAGTCTTTAGTTGGTGTTGGTGAAGAAGTGGAACATGGACTAGAGCAATCTGGTGAAATAATAGACAAGGAAGACAGTCTCTTTGTGACTCGTCGAGCCTCAAAGCCAAACCGACACTCACGTACACAAAGAGCCTGTGCCTTTAGAAGCTGAATCAGTCCTTAGCTTCCACATTTTGATTACTAACAGTTACATAAGGCATACTTAGTTTAGAGTAGCTCACTTGATGTACAATACTTAATCAGAGGACTGTGGTGTTGGAATTTATTACTCAAACCCAAACAATATGCAGATTGAAGACTCTTCCAGAATATTCTGCTAGTATATGAAGTGCAAAAGAAGACAAATGGCTTTGCACAGACTTCCACGATAAGTTTATTTACTGCTGAATTGTTCTGGAGTGTGTCATCACATTTAGTCCATTTCAGAACTTATT